AACTATTCTGACCGTTTTACGATAACAGCTGCCGTAAATAGTTTCCCGAGCGTCCCAGCGTACAACTAGCAATCTCTTATGTGACTGTGGCAATGGCCTCAAAAGTTATAAAGGTTAAAACTTACGAAACCCTTCGTCAAAAGCACAGAGTCAGTTCCGAAACCGTTAATTTCGCGACGATTACTCGCGGCTGTTTACGGAAGTTTCGAAAGAGAAAAACACGCTTCAATATGAAATTTACATTGGGAATTCGTGCGCTTAAGCTGCCAGTCGTGTCGGGCTTAATAGTCGAGCGAATTAATACATCGTCAAGGATAACGCGATCTATGCTCCTCTAAACGACTGATCCTATGCGGAAGTGTGTTAAATTTAACCGGGGCAATCCACGAAATATTATACCCTGCCACGAGATGCATGAAATTTTAAGCACCCTTCGTGAGATATGGCGGCAAGCGAATTATCCTTGGTAGCCTGCATAATTAAAAGTGGTGTCGTATTTTTAAGTAGGTCGGTGTGCGTAGAAATTTTAGGATTAAAGTCTGTACAATGATTGTTGCAGATTAACTATTTTTTTGACCTTTCGGGCACTCTGTATAAATTTATATTTTCGATGTAATTTAAAGTTTTATCGTTTACGAAGTTTTTTCAGGAGAATTAACTTTAAGGCTAGGCAACCACACTTACGATGTAGAGAAGTAGTTATTTACGGGAAAAGTTCTTCAATGGAAACTAAAAACATTTTGTACATGTTTTATATTCACATATCGTGGTTACCATCGATTCAATTGATATGGTTTGTTAGGAAAATAATTAAATTGTCACATTTTGAATAATGCATAAACAAATCCTAGAGAGAATTAAATTTAACATCAAATATTTACATATGCTATGTCGGATTTTCTCTTCCAAGAGAAGAATGATTTTCGTTTACAAAAACCATCGTTGCGCGTATTGGGTTTTTTGCGAGACACAAGTCAAGAGGGTGCAGGTGTGTCCCATCTTGACTTGTTTAGATAGTCCAGGAGCCAGCGACAGATTTTTATCAATTATTTCCTCTCGGCTGATAATTCATGAAATTGAGATAGTTGTGCCTTGAAGCATGGAGAACGCTAGCGCTAGCCTTCCACGCACGTAAAAACAAAATATATGTTCAATCATATCCTCTCGGTTGAAAATGTATGAAATGATAGTTTATATAGTGAATGTTTGAATAAAAAAGTCAGCTGGCCATAACGTGATGAATTATACGTCAGCTGCTCATACGAACATGAAAAGAAAAACAAAATTTCAGTGACTTCCTCTCGGTTGAAAATTTTGGAGATGATAGTTCACGTGATACTTTAAGGGATTGTTAGCTAACGCAGTGAAAATGTAACGCGGAAAGGAAGTAAATGCGCCGCTCGTTTACTTCAATGCACTAGCTAACGGGTTTCCCCCCGACATATATCCAGCTGAATTTTTTTATTATTTCAAGAATTATGTTAACTATTATTTGAAAAAATTTTCAATCGAGAGGAAATAACGTAATCAAAGTTATTTCACACAATATGACGCGATTTGCATGTGAGTTGCAAACGTATATAAAATAATCAAGAAATAGAAAGTACGAATATACCAATATTTTTGTATTATTTACCTACATCCATTAAAAAATTAACATCCGAAGAATAAGGGGACGAAATATAATAACAGTTTCTATGTTGAATGCACTTAATTCCGTTGTAGGAGCGAGTTACAGTATAATATTAAACATATTTTAAGGAATATTTGCATCCTAATACGTTATGTCAATTTGCTGAGTTTTATCGTTACTAAGCAACAATCTGAACAATATTTCTTTGCATATTATTTAAATATTGACTTTTCTTTACAAAATAGCGTTGGAATTTTTACGTTTCATGCACTCACTTCGATGTTATGGTCATTTGAAGTCAGAAAGTTACGATTCGCCTTTCAACTTCAACCACATTTTTCAGGACTTCCTCATCACATTTGGTATAAGTTATTGTGCACAATTTGAAGTGCAGAATCTATAGAATAATGGCTCGTAAATATTTTAAGTGTCAGGCGGGGTATAAATTTGGCACTTTTTTAACATCCTCCTTTAATCTTTTCTTTTACGTCTCAATTTATAATTATATAACTAGACGGCGGATCTTTATGCAAAATAAAATCTTCGTAAACGTGTCTACAAGAATTGAACCTAAATAGCAATTTATTTTATTCTGCAAATATTGTAACATGAACTTTACTTTCAATCTTTTTTATATTCTTGCATATTGTTTCCATTTTGTAGTTTCTTGCACATTCAAATTTACTATAAATGCATAAAGATCCGCAGTCTACTTATAACGTATGGTTCACAAACGATTAATAAAGAAGATCGGACACTTAACGTTCAATATAGTTAAGCAACTGGTTATAATTCAATGATTTCAATTTTCAGCAAGCCAACGAAACTTTAACACTAAGTTTCATTCGATTAAAAAAGAGGAGACAGTTCGATGCAATCCTAGCGCACGTAATAAAAATAGATAAGTCAAGTATGACTCGAGGTTAGCTGTTAATAACTTCAGAGGTTCCGTCTCGCCAAAGCACGCCGAGAATGTTGCAGAGTACGGTTCATTAAGCTAATACGCGTCGAATCGGTTTTCGAACAATTTCATCCCCGTTACGTGAACCGATAAAACATTTCGTAATAGCATTAGACGCAACTGACGAAAACCCAATTATAGTTCTCGTATCGTTCTAGTTACTATAGTAGTAACTATAGTATTGTGGAGTTAATCGTATTACATGTACTGTTGGTTGCGTCAATATTTATCATCGAGGTAATAAATCAGCCACAAATTCTACATTTTTAACATTATTTACCGTCAAGTTTGCCCCCCTCCCACTGCTTGGTAGCGATTACCGTTCCTAAAGCAGTATCCTTTCCGCCGGTGTTTAGTTTCGCGCAATCGTCCAGCGCGTGGTTATTAAATAAACAAACGGAACAGTTGCCGCGCAAAGTGAAATTCTCGTATACACCTGTGTCGAACACGCCCTCATTAAGTATCCATTTACCGACAAAAGATTTTCGTACAACAAGCTCTGTTTCGCTGACCGCAAGTTACTACCGTTTGCCCGATTAATATTTGAAGTATCGTAAACGATGTCAACGTTGGTTTCCAACATTTCCACGAAATTTCTATCGCTGATACGACAAAACGTTAACGCAAACATTGTGAAAACATTGAAACGTTGGTATGTTAGGAACAAAAACAAGCCGATCCATTTTACATAAATTTGTACTAAAAAGCAAAATAAAATCGCGAGACAGGAAGCACTTGATTTTGCAAAATAAAATAAACGAAGTAAATATAAAGATCGAAGCTTTTTGTTTATATCCTGAAATACTTACGAAAGACTATTTCTAAGTACAACGACTATAAGAATGAATCTATGTAATATGATGAAAGTATTAAAATACGTAAAAATAAACATTATAATATTGTATAAAAAGAAATACAGAAGTTCATGGATTTCTATATATGTATTATAACAGAATTCTTTTGTTAGGAGTGTAATTAGCGCACGTGGATGTTAATCATTTAAGTTAATCACGTGTTTGCTCTCTATCTAGATATATAATTATTTTGAAAAAAGTGTTTAACAAATATTCATTGGAGCTTGTAAACACATTAACTATACATTATTTTTGTAATTACACTCCTACTTATTTATTATATATGTAAATCCCTTATTTTCACTGTCACGATAGAATAAAGCTACATATTAGAGAGTGACCACAACAGCTCATCAGTGACTAAAAGCACGAATTACAGTGTTTAATTCTACAAAATTATATTTTACACATCGATTGACTAAAACGTTCCATTTCATTTTGTACTCCTATGATCTTTTAAACATTTTTTGATATACTACTCTACGAACTCTGTAGTTCTTCCCATATTTCATTATTTTTATTTTCTCTCAGCTAGCTGAGACTCTTGGATCGAAAGAAAAAAAATAGTACAGAGGTTTATTTTTGATCCCAGGTTTGGGGAAATGAATCGATCAGAGTGGCAAGCAACATTGTACTACATGCTCGACGTTAAAGAGAGTTTCGGAAACACAAAATATTCGCCATCGTGCTACAGTAATGTCTCGTTAGACGCACGTCCAGGATAAGTGCACAGAAACCAGCCTCACCACTGGGGGGCATACCCCTTGAGGGATCAAGGAGTTCAATTGCCAAGTTTCGTATATTCTTTGATATTTGCCATGGAGTGTTGAACGTAGAGACAAGGACAGCGAGTAAAGAAAAGGACGGAGCGAAAACACCGAGGTATGTCGGTGAAACAATCTAATGCAACGATGAAACTTTCTTATTATTAACTTTTTTGTCGTAAAACGTATACCATCATATTCCTGTCATTTTTCTAATTAAAATGAGACTAAACACGATATAATTCGGACGACATTTACCATTCATCTTTTTTTAGTTAGCGTTCTACGATATATGATACATAATAAGTTGGTACAAGTAAATATGTTGCGAATTACGTCGTGTTTGGTCTCATTCTAATTAGAAAAATGTCAGGAATATGATGGTAAAAGTTTTACAACAAAAAAGTTATTAATGAGAAAGTTTCATCGTTGCATTAGATTGTTTCAACGATATATCTCGGTGTTTTCGCTCCGTCCTCTTTTTTATTCGCTGTCCTTGTCTACGGTCGACGGGCGTCGGCAAACATCAAAGAATATACGATGTCCACGTTAGTCGCACAAGGTCAGTCTCAAGCTTGTGCATCTAACGAGACATTACTGTACTCGATGCTCAGAAGGTTGCAAAGACACAAAGAGCAGCAAGCAGTTTGTGAAGCGATAAGTTCAGAGACACCATGGAACCCAAATTGTAGTACAGTGATTGCAACCACGCGGCTCGACACAAAGGGCTACTTATCGAACAGCCTTGGGTGTACACTGCGCGGTTATAAAGAATCTAAGGTGCTTACCTTGATGGTGAATTGTCTGCACAGCGGCTTGTACGCGTTCGTTCCACAAACGAGAAATCGATCAGGCCCTTGTCTGCCAAATACACGTACATAATTCTGGCACTCGTCCTCGCTACGCCCTTTCAGATAACAAAGTTCACGATGCGCCCCGCTGCTGGACCACTGCAACCTCTGCAACAAACAAGATTAAACAATTGTTACTTTGGAATTTAATTTTCGGAATCGTAGTTCACACTCCACGACAAGCGAACGCGAATCACTCGCATTTGCAGAATCAAGTACGAATATCAGTGTACAGATTGTTTGTTCGTTACTCAAATGAATAGCGCATCATTAGCAACCATTGATACTCTGCGAGGATTAGAAGATTATGTTGTTTCAACATAAGTGATAGTCTTCTTTGCGAATTATTTCCTTTTTTTGGAATCTTTGGTATTCTTCCTGAAAATTGTCACCATTTTGTGAATGTTGATTTTTTTGAAAAATATTTTAGTTCACACCAAATCTACATGCAGATTAAAAATTCCTTTGGTTTTTGTGCTCTAGGTACAGAGTTTATTGGATAAGAACTGTTAATGTCTAGTTGGTATTAGTTTCATTCAATATCAATAATTCATATGCGTATAAAAATATAATAAATATACGTATGCATAGACTTTGGAATTAATCTCTTTTTAATAGTTGTCATCAGAAAATTCGTAAAAACGGATGTTTTTCTAAACTACAAAGTAGAAAGGACCCTTGAGCCTTTATTTACTGGATTTTTCAACAATTTATAAAATCATAGTTTCTATCTTGGTCTTATATCATCTTATAGAGCTCTAACAAACTTCCAAATGAAAAAAAGCTTGTGCTGCCATTCAACAATTAAAAACGAACTTCATAGAAGTGGACTTGAAAGTCATAATAGTTTTCAAAGCGTTTAATTAGTACAGTACCATGAAAAAATTGACTGGACTTATAAGTAAATAAAGGGTTAAATTAATTGAAAATTGTTAAAAAAAAAACACAGGTATTTATATAATTTGCGACATTAACAAGAAAAAACATAAATCGATAGAAATATAGAATAAGTATTCGTACAACTGTTTAATTTTTAAAACTTCACAAAAAAAACCGAAATTTACATTAATTTATAAATAACTAATACTTCGTGGGATTTTCTTTTGATTTTATAATCACTGCTACTCTTTTAGGCATTAAATTACCTAAATGTCGATGTTATTCAGAGTGGGATCTTCTTCCATTTCTCTGTTAGAGCCATTTTTAAAACTACTTTACTGGAAATTGAATGTTATCTAATTCGTACGGAGCAATAAACTAATGTATTTACGTTACAAACTCTACTATAAATGGTTCGTCATAAGAATCTTACAAATACTTATTGCTTCTACATTTCTACTAATTTTTCGTATATTCTTGTTAATTTCGCGAATTATATAAAGTGGTAATTGTTGTTTGGATATACTTACGTATTCTATAGATTTCTAAGAATATGTAGAATATCATTGATTATAAAAAAAGAATTTAAGAAACCACAATTTCACACAAAAGTTTTTTGAGGAAATTGATCGGTGTACGAATACATTCTACACCCACTGTAAATATTGTACATAATTTCCAGCATTATAAATAACGAAAAAGTAACACTCATTTCCATATTGGCGTGATGAAGACATGACAGATATTAACGACTAAGGTCCTGACGAAGGTTACCTGGTTTTTTTAGTTATTTAACGAGCATGAGTCGAATCTTTGATAACTTAAGAAACATTTCTCGTATCAGAGGCGATCAAGCGACCTGTTGGATCGGGGCAGTCTGTATGTGAAAAACACCATTTAGTCGAGAATGAGCAGTCTCCGGCGATCGCGGGAGCAATTAAGAAAGTATTTTCAGCACGGCGCACGGTCAAAAATCAAACGTCGTTCACCCTGACTGGAAATTCCGGATTTCCTTGCGCGGACCGACAATCGCTCGAGGCGAGCGTGAAAAGATCCAGTGTATATACGAAATAATGCGTGGCAAGGTGGAAGGGCGGCTGAAAATCACGATGAAGAGGGTGGCGGAGGTCGGGGAGGATACTGCAGCTGCATACTATCGAAGTAGAAATCCTTGAACAAACTATCCAAACCCCTTCTCGCGCCGTTTCTCATGGTTGCATTTATACCCGAGCGTTTCGTGCTATCTTTTTACGTCTCCTCATGGTCGACCCAGAAACTGACCCAATATTTGGCAGTACAGGATTACGTACTAGGCTGTCTCATAAAAAAAATGTTATTCTTCGCACGCTATTTTTTGGTTGTGCAATTTCTTAGTGGCGATACAATAAATTTGTAATTGTTTGGTAGACTGGTTTCATTTGTAGCATGGTCACTTCACGTGTTTGTATTAGGTTGTCCGAAAAGTTTCTTCCGTGTCTTGCACTCAATTATTTTGTGTGGTAGTGTTTACAGTGGGTGTAGAATGTATTCGTACACCGATCAATTTCCCAAAATACTTTTTTATTAAATCGTAGTTTCTTGACTTTTTCTTTTACAATCAATGATATTTTACATATTCTCGGAAATCTTTGACATAGATATAGCCCAAACAACATTTACTAGTTAATATAATTTGTGAAATTAACAGAAAAATGCGAAAAGTGGGTAAAAGTATAGAAGCAATAAGTATTTGTACGATTCTTATGACTAGACTGCGGAAGTTTATGCACGATAAATATGTAACATGCATATGCAAAATATGCATGAAAAATATCCAAAATATTCACGAAAAATATGCGAAATATGCACGAAAAATTTGAATAAAATGTAGTATAATAAGTAATATATTAGTATGTTACGGAATATTCGCTATGTTCACATATATAAAATACTTTTCACAATTATTCTGGTGTATTATAATTCGCATTTTTTCCAATTTTAATGGTGTTAGTTGGTGGCGTTTGTCTGTCAAAATTAATTTATACGCGGAGAACGATCGCTCTACGTCACACGAAGTAATCGGTGCGTATTTAAATTTACACCAACATTGTTCCGGCACACTTATTGGTCCTTGAATACTCTCGTTATTTAAAATACTAGAAAGCTTTCGATACTGTAGAAAATCCTACATTCTTTTCTAAAGTTCTTTTACATTTTTAAAAAGATATGCAATATATTATTGCAATATATTATTGCATATAATTTTAAACATAAATGTGCAAGATAAAAAATGGATTTTTATAGTACTCTAATTTCAAAACAAATTTCTATCTAGGTCCCATTCTTTTAACTATTTCCTATAAAAATATGCATTTGCATAAACTTTCGCAGTCTACTTATCGAACCATTTACAGTAGAGTTTGTAACGTAAACACATTAGTTTATTGCTCCGTGCGAATTAGAAAACATCAAATTTCCAGGAAATTACTTTTAAAAATGGCTGTAATAGAGGAATTGAAGAAAATCCCACTTCGAATACCTAATAATTTAGTTAATGTAACGCTTAGATGAGTCGCAATAATTATAAAATCAAAAGGAAATCCTACGAAAGAAGTATTATATACTTATAAATTAATGTAAATTTCTTTTTTTTTAATCAAGTTTTAAACCTTAAACAGTTGTGCGAATACTTATTGCTTCAATATTTCTATCGTAATTATTTTTTTTTTTTGTTAATTTCGTAACTTACATTAGTAGCTATTTTTTTGTACTCTATCTATTCTAGAGATTTCCTAGAATATGTAGAATGTCATTGTTTATAAAAAATAAGTTAATAAATTACAATTTTACATAGTTTTTTTGGAAATTGATCGGTGTACGAATTCTTTCTACACCCACTGTACATAAATAGACAACCTAATTTCTTTGATGTTAATATTGTATAACAGTAATGGAGCAAAATGAATCGTACGCAATTTAATAATAAAACTTTTGGGACAACCTAATATATCATTCCAATATATATATTTTCATCGATGTATTAATTAGACACTCTTGAAATAAATAATGTGATGAAAGTACTGCAAATATTTTTTATCGATAACTCAACGTGTTGCAATTGATCCTGATGAAGTTTAGATGTGACTAACAGTATGAACTATTTTATTACGACACGAAGGCTATAAATGCTAATAAACATTTAGATTTATTTACTACGACTCGTTATTATGAGAATAATTATATTGCATCTGTTATCGTAGAGGTCTCATTAACTAAAAATATTATATTTACGCCAATAAAAATTATGTTCATGAAATTTTATTATCTAATTGAATAAAATATACATCTTTATAAATATATTACACCTCATATTTCTAATTATTCTAGATTATTTTTTTTAAATTGTCCTCTGTTCTCTTTTCTTATGATACAAGGTAGGTAACTTTGTCTATAGGTTAATTGTTAATATATTAAAGAGTACATTTTTTACGCAAACAATGTTTTTGGTAACTTGTTTGAAGTATCATCATAAAATAATAAAAAATTTAGACATATCTATTAAGCCATGTAATTTTTAAAAATTGCTAATAAATGTACGTTTCAACTACTTGGTTGATAGTAGAGAATGATTATATTAATACTCAAAGTGCTGGAACTATCAAAATTTTGACTACTTCCTACCCACGCTACCCTTACCACTTTCCTTTCCTTTCCTCTTCTTTGATAATTTCGAACGACCGAGCCACGGTAAGTAAATCTTATCAGTGGCTAGTTCGTGGATCCACTTTTCCCCGAGAGCAACGGACAATGGCTGATCTCGTTATGGTGCATTATCCAAGATCATATTTTGTTTCTGGCAGCCTACAAGTCCATGGACGGTCCCATGGCTTCTCGGCGTTCCCTTTTGTCCTTTTCGCTTACCCTGCATACCTTGCCTTTATCATCTTAATATCCTTATATTACTTACTTCAGTCGCTCCTCTGCCCCGTGCTCTGCCTTTTCCGTTACAATGTCCCGGTGAAGTATCAATAAATTACTTGAAAATTTATACCGATACTTTTCCGCGACCCAGAAATTCTCTCTACCGTGAAATCTAATTTTGTCCCGTAGTTTCACGTAGCCGAAGTGTATCTCGAGGTAAAGGAAATAAATCAATTTTTCCAGTTAGTGTTTCCTAGCTTCCTCCATCGTACCTCTCCCATTTTTCCTTTACTTTCTTGCCGTATAACAAACAACGATTTTACGTCAGC